TGTGATGACTAATCCCAGAACCAGCAGAAAGTGAGTCTAAGCTGAGAACAACTGCTTCAAGTAAAGAGCCGGTGGTCTATCAACACAAGTCTTGATGAAACACTGACCTCTTCCCATTGATCATAGCAGAGTTATTTTAATTCTCTTGTCTATGTGAAGATATGAGTGTCCCATCTGACATTCTGCTTTTATGTGTCAAAAGAAACTCATTTCCCAAATATATGCTATAGGAAGGTAGTGTGGGAGGTTTCTGGAACTGACCTGCCAGAGGAAGCCAAGTCCTGCTCTCCTATTGAGCAGCTTACTAGCTGGGCAGGTCATTTAACCCCCTGAAAGTCACAGGTTTTCACTGGTCAGTTGAATACATTGGTAACTCATGGGATTGTAATGAGAATTAACTTAGACAAAATGCTCAGAAGAGTGGCTTTCAAAAAGTAAGCCCACATTAAGTGATAGGTGCAATTCATGGGAAAGAAGGTAATAAAAGAATGAGGAGGTGTTCTCATTGAACAGAGAGCTGAGGTGTCCTCATTTCTCAGGGAAGGGCTTTGGCCTTCAACAGTCCCATGGTGTTAGCTAATATTGCCTCTGTTTTTCAAATAAAGAAATCGATATTTGGAGAAGTTACAGTAACCTTCCCAATGTCACTCAGGAAGAGACAAATTTGAGATTTGAACCTGGGTGGAATAATCCCAAAGCTTGCTTTCTTTCTATCTCACTGCTATACTACGTGTATTCTGAAGGCCTTTTCTTGTTACCCTACAGAATTGTTATCCTACCTCCTAAAGGTCAGTATGAAACCAGGCAATGTCAGCATGGAACCTGGGAAAAGGAGCCCAAGCCATCTCCAGTATGGAATTAAAGGCCCACTCTGGAGGGCTTTGCAGACAGCCTACGTTCCTGAGCTGCCCCATAAAACACACTTCCCTGATTGTGCGGAAATGTGGAAGGAACTGAACAGGACAATTCAGACTTTTTTCCATGTTCAGAAGAAAGACAAAGGAAAATCTGAGAGAAAAATGCACAGAAAGAGAGAATGAAAGAAGAGAAGGAGGGAGGGAAGGAGAGAAGAGAGAGGGTTCATTTCATCCCCAAAGAATTTCAAGAGAAACACAAGACCCTGCATATTTATATGGCACATGCAAAGGATACTGGAAAAGGAAGTGACTGGCTCAGGAAACCAGGATGTGAACAAGGCCAGATACCCTGATAACTCAATAGCAAAAGCCCTTTGTTCTGTCTTTAGTACTCTTTATCCAACCCAGAGTAAAAAAAATCTCAGAAAATCAGGCCTCATAGGGGAGGAACTGAGGCTGTTTTCCAGATGTCAGAGAAGAAAGTGCTGCAGAAGTCGTGGAGGAGTATCACCTGCTTCTCTGTTGTCCCACACAAAGGGTTCTACTTCCACAGGCTGCAGAAGCACAGGCCTGGTAAGTGCCTTGGGAAGAGAGAGAACAGGAGTCATGCAGATTGCTAGGGAGGCTGGACAGGAGCTGGGGAGACAAGGGCCCCCTGTCCTAGGAGAACTACCCTATTAGTGGGATTCTGGGATTTGAGCACTTTTTGCAGCTCTGCAGATCATCTGATCTTTAATGTTTTCATATCAGAGAAAAACACTTGTTTACAGTTCTGAAAAAGCCACTGATCTTTATATATCTATTTTCCACATTCTCATGTAAATAGGTGAGTCTGTTATGATAGTCTCACATTCATGCATTCGGAAGAGAGATGTTGCTTTTCTGGGAGCCAGGAAAAACACCATAGTGGAAACATTATTCACAAATGATTAAAATGCATGTGCACACACACACATGCAGAGCAGCAGAGAACAGACTCAACTCTAGTCCTGGAGCCATGTCAGTGAATAAAACTGTTGAAAGCCAGGAAGGTGAACTTACCTTTGGAACCAATCAGTCATTGTTTAGCTTTCCTTTATTCTTTGTTTTGATCTAAGGTTGCCTCTCCTATCACTTTCTCCCTTGATACAGTGTCTCATTGTCAGCATTGAGACCAAATAGAATTTCAAGAGAAACACAAGACCCTGCATATTTATATGGCACATGCAAAGGATACTGGAAAAGGAAGTGACTGGCTCAGGAAACCAGGATGTGAACAAGGCCAGATACCCTGATAACTCAATAGCAAAAGCCCTTTGTTCTGTCTTTAGTACTCTTTATCCAACCCAGAGTAAAAAAAATCTCAGAAAATCAGGCCTCATAGGGGAGGAACTGAGGCTGTTTTCCAGATGTCAGAGAAGAAAGTGCTGCAGAAGTCGTGGAGGAGTATCACCTGCTTCTCTGTTGTCCCACACAAAGGGTTCTACTTCCACAGGCTGCAGAAGCACAGGCCTGGTAAGTGCCTTGGGAAGAGAGAGAACAGGAGTCATGCAGATTGCTAGGGAGGCTGGACAGGAGCTGGGGAGACAAGGGCCCCCTGTCCTAGGAGAACTACCCTATTAGTGGGATTCTGGGATTTGAGCACTTTTTGCAGCTCTGCAGATCATCTGATCTTTAATGTTTTCATATCAGAGAAAAACACTTGTTTACAGTTCTGAAAAAGCCACTGATCTTTATATATCTATTTTCCACATTCTCATGTAAATAGGTGAGTCTGTTATGATAGTCTCACATTCATGCATTCGGAAGAGAGATGTTGCTTTTCTGGGAGCCAGGAAAAACACCATAGTGGAAACATTATTCACAAATGATTAAAATGCATGTGCACACACACACATGCAGAGCAGCAGAGAACAGACTCAACTCTAGTCCTGGAGCCATGTCAGTGAATAAAACTGTTGAAAGCCAGGAAGGTGAACTTACCTTTGGAACCAATCAGTCATTGTTTAGCTTTCCTTTATTCTTTGTTTTGATCTAAGGTTGCCTCTCCTATCACTTTCTCCCTTGATACAGTGTCTCATTGTCAGCATTGAGACCAAAGAAAAGTGCTCATTCAATGTAAGAGCAATACATTCCCCTCCTTTTGTCTTTTTCAGGAAATTAGCAGCTCATGTTCCATTAACTGGAGTGTTTGCCTTATCTCATTTCTATAAGTGAAGTGGGAATTTCAAGGCCATAATTTAGAATTAGTCTGTCCAATTCATTCTAAATGGAGCCTGTTCTCATTGCAACATTTATCTCCAGACCTTACCAAAGATTATATTCAGGCTTACCTACAGGCCCACAATTGTCCTCTCTTCAAAGTTGAGGCCATTAGTACTGTGATGAAATATGAAAGGCTTTTGAATTGGGTTCTAGAAACTTTTATGGTCAGATGAATTCCTTGCCATTTTAGAAGCTAGTCTCTACATTGTTTTATAATGTATTTTACAGATGGACCTGGGAAACTCTGGGTTTTCTAAATACACAATACTTGGTCATTGTTCCAGAACAGTCTTACAGAGATTTGTTACTTTTTCTGATATTTATTTGAATCTTGAGACTGAAAAAGCATATCCAGTCATCAAATGGAAACCTCAATGTGTCCTTTTATCATGTAAGTACCAGGGGTGAGGATGAATACTAATGATGCAGGCTAATGTGGCCGCTTTTAACTGTGTGCAATTCAGTTTCAAGAGGAAATTCACAGGACTAAAACCTGGGTAACATTCTCCCCAGATGCACTAGCTCCCCTAACTGAGGTTTTCATGACTGGCATCTGTTCTGATAGATTGGAACCTATGTTATGCCAATGGTTGTTTACCATCTATACTACAATTCCTTATTTAAAAAATAAGTGAGGCCTCAAAGAAGTTAAATTATTTCCCTGGTGTCATATAGATAGTACATAGCCAAGACTAGGTCATGTCATTCGAATTCCACTTCAATGCCCTTTTCACTGACTTGTATGGGCATCCAAATATGTGTAATCATGAACTGTGCTCTAACAGGACTCCACTGTTTCAATGACTGAAAGGGGGCCTTACAATTCAATATACTAGCTCAATTATTCTACAGTATTTAGCAGGATTCTAAAAATACAAAGGTTGTTATGGCTTCTAATAAACACAAATATCTCTTCTCTGACCACAGCATGATAGAAACCAAGCTCAAAAGGGTTCATCCAGGAGCAGTAAAAGGAAAATGGAATTTGCCGTGTTCTGTGGATTCTAGTCCTGATAGTCACCAACAATTCTGTGACTTTGGGTAAGTCCTTAGTTTTCACATGTAAAAGTCTAAAAGGTAGGTGCTTCAGTTGAAACTTTCAGAAGAATGGTTGGATTAGGTAATGATTTAGATCTCTTTAATACTAAGATTCTATTAGTCTCTGATCTGTTTCCAGGAAATAAGTTTAATACACTCCCTTTACTGACCCTGTAAAGGAGCTTCCCTTCAGCACAGGTTGGCCAACACAGATTCCATCCATAAAGCGGCTCTGGTGTGGAGAAAACCAACCCACAATTTCAGGTAAGCCACAGTAGCAGACTGCTAGCCATCTACAAATACCTATTTGTTGCTGCTTCGTGATATTAAAATCTCCCATCCAGATTTTCATTGGGTTCAAGGCCTTCCAACTGGAGGCAATTCCTGGCCTCCCTTGCATCTAGGTTACTAACGACGTGTGAACCAGAAGTGGTGTGCACATCTTCTAAGGTTTACCCTTCATTAGAAGGGATGTGCCTTCCACACTGTCTTTGCCCCTTCCCAGTGTCTGAGGAAGAGTTGTTTATAGGCAACATAAACATAGAGGTAAAAGCTATGTATTTAATACAACAGAGTAAAAACACCAGCCCCATAGTACCTACTTCTGGACAGGCACACAAGAAAAGCAAACTCCCACTGTGTTGTGAGTCTCTATATTGAAACAGCTTAGATGGTTCACCACATGGTACAGCCGTCAGTAAAATAGATACTGGTGAAGCCATTAGTGAATGCTGCAATGGAATAAAACTAAGGGAGCTGAGTGAGATGCTTCAGCCTGGATTCTATTCAGCAGTGACCTAGTCCTCAACATTAAGGTTCCAGTTATAGAGAAATAGTTTCAACTATAAGCAAAGACTTCTCAAGTTTCATAATTCATAAGAAGACCTGCTGATTACTATATGTTTTTTATCCAACATATCCTGAAAATAATGGTAGAATGAATTCTTATTCTTAACATATTGTATCCAAGTACACTTTTCAAAATTCCAATTTCAACTTCTCACACTACAGAAATATAGTATGAACTATAAACATAATATAAAATATAAACACTAGGGTCATCTGTAACAAAGTAATCAGTATTGGCTTGTAATAGTCACAAGATTTAGAAACCTGTTTCTTCAAATAAAAGATCTTTGTCAATCTTGAAATCCCAGGAACTCAAAGACCAGATGTCACTACCTTTTCTGCCCAGTATATGGTCAAATCTATTTATAAAATTTTCACTTTACTGGCCAGTTCACTGCCACATTTCTCCTCCAACACTGTGCTAATTCATAAAACATTATTTGAGTATGTAAAACTAAAACCTGATATTTTACCAGCTTCTAGTTTGAGAATAAAGAATGAACCACAATTCAGTCATGGTAATTGTGGCATATACTACAGACTGGTTTAAGTCCACAACCATTCTAATCTCTTTCTAACATGCCTTTCTATAGAATAACAGCTAGAAAGCCAAAACCTCTTCCCTATAGGATTCTGCATGGGAACCAGGTTATTCTAAGCCCATTCACATTCTGTAAACTACCTGATAGCTTATATTAAATCTCTTTCTGTTTACACTAACTAGCCTCTATTTCTGCAGCTAAGAAACCTGATTGCTATGGTGATATTTCAATTATCTGCCTCTTTAAGGATATAAAGACTTGAGGAGGTTCATAAAACATATTCTTCTATGGCTATCTTTTTATCATTGGCACTATTAACATTAATTGTTTTGTTAAGGGAATGACAAGGAAGTACCAGGTCAGGAGGGTGGGTTTTGGGAGCTGTGAGTGCTAATCAAGTGTTAAATAGCTACCTTCTTATGACAGACTGAATCACTAGCCATCTGTCAAGGCACTCGGTCATTTTCACACTGGTCTCGATATGGATGCCAATCCTGAGAGACTACAAAGGGCAACTGAGCTTCTGGATGGGATATTTTGATAATCAGTTATATTTCTAGAGGCTAAAGGAGTAAGCAACAGTAACTACAGTTCTTAGAAACCCTGTTGATAAAGGATGTTGTTAAGCCTGCTTCACGTAGCTTTGTCATTCTCAGAGTGTGGTCCCCGACCAGCAGCATCAGCATCATTTGGAAACTTTTGAAAATACAAATTCTCACACATATATACACACATCAGCCCTACTGAATCAGAAACTCAGGCTTGGACCCAGGGATCTGTTTTAGCAAAGCCTCCAGGATTCTGATGCATGCTCAAGTTTAAGGATCACTAGTATAGGTTGTTTGACCCTAACTGAGGTTAAATGGAGTTTAAGAAAAATAGTAGCAAGGTATGAGAGAAAAGACAATTGAACAAACAGGTCTTTGATTTAAATGGAAGTTCATGTTAGAATATCAGTTTGAATCTCTTCCTATATAAAAAGGAAAAAGTGTTAGAAGGAGCATTGTGCTGGGAATCTAAATCATTGAATTGGATTTTGGTATTTTAACTAATAATTAAGTAACTTTGGATGAATCACTTAACTTTCTGGGGGATTGTATTTCCTCATTTGAAAAGTGAAATAACAGGATAAGCATTCTCTAACACTCACAAATTTTCTGTCAGTTCTGGACAAAATTAACACTCTTATCCTTGATTAGCATCATATTGCTTCCTGAGTATCATGCCCTTTCTAGTATAAACCTGCTAATAGAAATCTCCCAGCTTTCTATTTCTCTACGTAGGAGCAGTATCAGAAGGAAAATTACCAAAAGGTACATGCTCCATCCCAAGACCAGAGTACAGCAGTGTATTCCAGCTTAACTCAGGACTGGTAAAACCCACTGAATGTCTGAAAGGTCAATGTAACATTTAAAATACATTGGGGAATCCAATATCCTAGAAATATGTAAAAATTACTTACACTGTGTTTTGTATTATTGATGATTTTGATCACACTTGAGACTCAATGTAAGGACTACATCTTCACACTTCAGTACTCTGTGTGTGTGTTATTAAATGATTTAATCTTTTTCCAAATTTTACGAATTGAGATTCATTGGCATTCAGCCATAACTGAGGCAGGTAGTAATTATACTGGGAAAACCATGGATTTGCATCCCTTAACAGTGTGGAGGCATTCCATCACTGGCAGGAGATTGTATCCACTCAATGAACTTGGGAAATATAGAAAAAAACAGAGGGCTTGTCCCATCTGTGAAGCAGCAAGGACCAAGAGCTACTCAGTTAATGAATTTTCTGAAGATGAAAATGCCAGCATGTTGTACAGCTATAAAATAAAAAATGAATAAAGAATGCTAGGGGAAGGTACAGCAAAAATGTGTGTCCCTTGAAGCTGAAACTAATTTCTTCCCGTCACCTATCTTGGCAGATAGTAGGTACTTAGTGAATATTTGGATTGAAAGAATAAAGATTGAGGATGAGACTATTTTAACTCTTGGTGTATAAACACAAAGAAACACAAGTTTTAGCTGTGTATTTTAAACGAGGAAATTGCTTTACTTTTAATGAGCCTAAAATTAAAAGTATCTTCTTTCAAATTTTTGCAATGCCAGTTGAGTGGGTGTGAAAATTTCATACAAGTTTTATTATGTTGAACCTTGTAAAATTACAGAGATTCACCACTTTTGGCTAACAAAAATGGCAGATTCAATTGGTCCAACCTAATTTCTTTTTTGTCTAAGAAATATCATCTACACTTAGAAAACTGACTAGCACTCTCTGTAAATGCTGAGTCACAAACAGTTGATCTTGGCACTAGAAGAGATGGAGCCAGTGTATGTTATCAAGACCCTCCCTTAAAACATGTGGCTCTCAATCATCTCCAGATAATTTCAAAGCATGATCTTCTTTTTAAAAAATTAAATGAAACATAGTGTTGTTCCAGAGCCATTACAAGAGCAGACATAGGATGGAGTCTTAAAAATAGGTTTTAAGATTAGATAGTGGTGATGGTTGCACAACTCAGTGAACATATTAAAAAGTACTGAAATGTGCACTTTAGAAAGGTGAATTTTTTGGTATTTGTATTTATCTCAAAAACGTTGTTTCAAAAAACAGAAGAGAGTAGAGCTATAGAGACTGGAAATACAAATGCCCTGTGCAGACCAGTTTGTGGCTCTGAGGAGGAAGAGGAGGAGGGGCACATTACTGTGAAACCCCAGGCGTCTGCCTGGTTGCTAGCCAACCTTTACAGTGTCATCTCTGCGAAGATTGTATGTCGCAGCTCACACCCTTGCCAAGTCATGGAAGTGAATATACATGCGGTATTAATAGCCTCTGGTATTTTCAGCATGATGCTTGAATTCTGGAAAGGGATCCCCTGAGCATTCCTAAACGGAAGCATGGTGAGAACTGTCATCTTTGCAAAATGCCATTTAAGTCTTTGTGGGAAGGATCTTTCTCAAACTCACTTATCCAGTCAAGCTTATAGGGCTGTTTCTAGCACAGAAAATAAATGTAGAAAGTTACCTGTAAGCAGTAATTTAACCTAGGAGGAGAAAAGGTCAGATGAGAGGACAGGACACTCAGAAAAATGTACCTATGCACAGATTTCATTTTACATCAAGGGCTAAAGGACCTTTGAATCCCTTCCATGAACTGACTCCACATTAGGAATACTTGGTCTATATTCTGTAAAATTATGTCCCCATTGCATTCTACTGGTAAGAGTATTTTAGTGACATTTAACACTGACATTCTAGGGTTTTAGAGAAGTCCTAAAGATTCATCTCTTTGCTACCACAAATACTGGTCTTTAATTTCTAGATTGACTTCTACTGCAGCTTCTAATGGTATATAAATGGTGCTGGACAATGGGGGAAAAGAAGCCAGTAGATGAAAATCATAATTACCTTATGTTTCATTGCCTCTGGCTTCTCTCTGTTTTTATTTTCTGTTTGTCATCACATTTAATATTATACTACTTGTAGTGTTTCTTTGACATTGCATTTTACCCCAATACCTGGACATTCATGTATAGTTTAGAAAGTCCTATTTTTAGTAATAGTCATTTCCATCAATTATCACTAACAATTACAATCTGTAGCAAAA